AGGCTCAACAAAAATCAACGTGAAATGCACTTTGTTTTTCGCTCGCTGTTTCGGGGTTTTTGCATTGACAGAAATCAACGCGAAAATCCGCTGCAGCACGTCTGCAACGTCGGTGATGTGACAAAGATTAGAGGGAAAATGAGTTTCGGGTATAGCCAGGACCCCAGGTAAGGGGAGCCGGTCAGTGATTGGGCCCCGAGGCCCCCAGAATTGGCCAGAGTCGCGAAACCAGGTCTGCCGTAACAGGTGTTTCTTCGGGTGACGGCAGTTCCGGTTAGTGGAATGGGGCGGGAGGGCATCCCCCAGAACACGTCACTAAACCAGGTCTTTCGAAATCCAGTCCCGCCAACGCCCGAAAGTTGCACACACATAGGCGCGGATTTCTGAGGAGGGCGCTAGACCCCCCCGCGCCGCCCCTTGCACACTCCGCGCGCCACGGGAGGGGGGTCCAGCGCCAACCCAAGAAAAACGGGGGGACCTGCAACAGGTGATGTTTCTTTCTGGTCCGCTTATCTAGAGAGAGGGAGAGATGGTACTAGAAAGAAAAAGAAAGAGAGAGAGAGAGAGAAACAACAAGAAAATCGAGAGAGAGAGAGAGAGAATGAGAGAGAGAGAGATATGGAGAGGTCAATGCTGGCTAGGGTGCCCAGAGCTTCCCACGCCATGCCTAGGTGCGCGAGGAGAGTCTCGCCTCGGGAGAGAGTTTCCCCTCCCCCAGGCGGCGGTGCGAGAGTGCGAAGGTAAGTAATGTCGGGGGGCTCAAAGCGCTGTGGTGACCGCACCGCGTAGTGAGTCCGTGGGGATTTGGGGCCACCGCACGGTTGTGGAACTCGGGTCGCTCTCCGAGGACGTCTCGGGCGACCAGGGCCTCCGAGGCCCCAAGACCGCGCGGTGACGGACTGTGCGGCGCGGTCGCTGGGGATTCCGAAGTCACCGCGCGGTCCATCACCGCACGGCTCTGGGGCCGCGGAGGTAAGGATGGCGCGACGCGAGGCGCGGAGTGGGGCGGCCGACGGTGTCGGTGCAGCGTTGCGAGGCCAGCGCGCGGTCCGGCCGCGCGACGGCCGGGCGCTGCTTGACAGACTACCCCAGACGGGTGTCGGCGGCGAGCAAGGTCGGGAGGCGAGGAGCAGCAGGCCACCTCAGAAGACGGCGGGGCTTCTCGGAAGCCCTCGGGCCTTCCGAGAAGTGTCCTGTGTTTCCGGGGAAGTCTTCGAACAAGCCTCAGAATGCCGGGGGACTTCTGAGCCTTCTGAGAAGGCCCGCCCTTTCTCACTTCCCCTCCGAGCTCGCCGCCGAGTTTTGGCATCGCTCGGATGTGTGCATTTTTCCTCGGCGAGGCCCGCGCCAGAAAATCTGCACCTTTTTGAAGCATCTTGGATTATGTTGGGAAGCAACACGCGCGAAACCAAACAATGCACGGGGAATGGACCCCCGAGCGCTGGCAAGTAGCAGCAAAGGTGAAGAGGCGGATCGAGGAGTAGAAGGCAGGTTAGTGAAAATTCCCAGGTATTCTTCGGAAGCGCAGGAAGTGCTGTGGGGTTTTCTCTTTCACACCAGAAGCGTGTGCGGGAACGGTGTTCTGGCGACACGGAGAACTTGGAGAGCACGGCCATGTGCATTTGATTGAATGGCTCTGTTACAGCGGAGCGTGGCCGTGCGGGCCGAACATGTAGCCGGCATCGATGCGAGAGCACGAGCCCTGAAAACATTGTCAGGAAGTCTCAGGCGAAGCGGCTGCGGGACTGTGCGGCCTGGGGTTCCCCATCCCCCGTGTGGGACTTTGTCGTGGTCTTTCGCTTCTTAGCGAAATTCTACTAGGGAAGAGGTAGTTCTCGAATGATGTTGGCCCTTCGGGGGTCTCCTTAGGAGGCTCCGTTTCCACTTGGAGCCGTATTGGGTTGGTCTTGCACCCTCGCGGAGGCAAGTTGGAGGTCGTGTTGAGCCACATTTGAAGCCATCGTGGGCTATCCGAAGCCCTTTGGGAGACATCTTGGACCAAACAGGACCCTCTGACATCTCGCCCCCCCTACAGACCCAGGTGTAGGTGGAGGGATAAGCCCGTCCCCGAAAGGGAAAAAGGAGGCTGGAAAAGGAGACTGTCGAAACCACCTGCACCCGGAGAGCTGGTGGGGCCTGGTGGGAGGACGCCGTCCTGCGACTGTTGCCTGCGACTGCCGTCGCCTGGTCACGTCCGCCCTCCGCCTCCTTCGCTCCCTCGCCCAAGCAAGCTTCTTTTGCCCTTCTGCCCCGGTCACCCGTCCCGCCCCTCCCTCCCCCCGAGAGCCCCACACGGGGGCGCAGCAGGCGTGTCGGGAACGCCCGAGTCTTGCTGCTCCGCTTCGGGCATGTTGCGCTCCTGGGCTTGAGAGGGGTAAAGGGGGAGAGAGCCCACTCCTCAAGGGATAATGGAGGAGTGTAACGCCCTTCGGTGGAAGGGATTGCAGAGAGGGATGGTGTGACTGTCGAGCCCCATGGACTCAGCATCAGCATCAGCATCTGTCCTGCCTCGAAAGACTAATGAAAACAAGCTCGCGAGGAAAGAGGCGGGCCCATGTCGGCAGCGGCGGCTCAGCAAGAGCGCCTCCAAGACTGCGGTAGGAGGACGATGACTTCAAATGCAGTTAGAAAATGAGCATGTCTCTCTCTCTCTCTCTGTCTCTCGCTCTCTCTCTCTCTCTCTTTCTCTCTCTCTCTCTCTCTCTTCGTTTCTCTGTCTCTCTCTCTCTCTCTCTTTATCTCTCTCCCTCTCTCTCTCTCTCTCTCTCTTTCTCTCCCAGACACCCAGTGGATCCCTGTGACAACGCAAGGTTTACGATGTCAGGGGTGCGGAAGCCCTTTTGAATTGCATTCCAATCCGGATCACTTTGCAACCCGCTGAATATGGAATCTGCATCTCCCTCCTTCCGTCCTTGCCTCTGTCTGTGTTTATGTCTCTGCCTGCTTCTCTCTCTCTCTCGTTTTTTTTGTTTTCTCGCTCTCTCTCTCTCTCCCTCTTTCTCTCCCTCTCTCCCAGCACACCCACCACAGTCCCTGTGAAAACGCAAGACTTGCGATGCAGGGGTGCGGAAACCGTATGCTTTTCATCCGGGTGTTTCGGATGTGGGTGTTTTCCGCTCTCCAGCGAAAATCAAACCCAGGAGCCCTTCCAGGAGCTCCGACCCCCCAGACTCCCAAACATCATACAACCCACTTGACAACACATGGTGTCCTCAATTCTCATCCCAACATTCCCAAACATCCCCATGAAAACGCAATGTTTCCGCACCTCTGACATCGCAAACTGTTGTGTTCAAGTGGGTGCTTGGGATTTCTCGGATCAGACGTGAAGAAGCCATGTGTTTTCATTGTGATGTTCAAGGCGTTTGGGATTCTGGCGGTCGGAGCTCCTGGGAGGGCTTCTGGGCTTGATCCTCGCTGGAGCGAGGAAAATCCCCAAAGTCCATCAAAAACCCAATGAAAGACACATTGTTAGATTCAGTTGATTCAAATGTGATTCCTCTTGGACCCCACTGAGCAGATATCATATCCAGTTGATTCAGAATGGAAATCGACGTGGAATCCAATTCAACCATTGCAGGCCCCAGATCCACCTGATTCCAACTAGAATTCTATTGACATCTAATTCGGATCCAGCTAGGAATATGCAGATCCCAGATCCAGCTGATGCCACTTAGATTCCGTGTGGGATTCAATACGAATCTGAGTGGGGTGGAGCGGGTCCCAGGTCCAGCGGAGTTCAACTAATACGAATCAAATAGATTTGCACAGGTCCCAGATCTAGTTGGTTCCGAATAAAACCCTGTTGCAATTGAATTAGAATCGAAAGGACATGGGGCAGATCCCATCTTCAGCTGGTTACACGTGTATTCGCAATGGGATCGTGTTAGGATCTACTTGGGATGGAGCAGGTCCCGGGCCCTGATGAGTCCAGCTGTGTTCCTTCATACTGGACTATTATAATCGAATTGGAATGGAGTTGATCCCAGATGATTCCAGTGTGACTCAGATTGACATGACATAAGATTTCCATGCAAATTGGACACATCACAGATCCACTTAAGTCCAAATGGGTGTCCGATTCTATTCGAACTAGAATCGAATCGGAATTCAGCAGATAACAGATCCTGCTGATGAAATCGAGCTAGAAACTATTGGAATTGGGCAGATCCTAGATCCAGTTGGTTACAATATGATTCCTATTGAACTAGAAACTGGTTAGAATGGAGTCCTATGGGGGTAGACCTATAATGGGATTGAAGTGGTGCAGATCTCAGATCCAGCTGATTGCAAGTGGACCTCCTATTAAAGTCCAACCAAACTCGTGTTGGAATCAAGAAGATCCCAGATCCAGCGGATCACAAGTATATAAGTATTGGGGTCTTCTGTAGATTTGAATTGGGGTGGAGCGGCTCCCAGATCCAGTTCATTCCAAGTTTATTCGGATTGGGATAAATTTAGAATCAGTAGAATTGCGCAGATCCCAGATCCAGTAGATTCCAACAAGATTCCAGCACGAGAAAGCACTGGATACATGACGAACAGGAGAGATGGACGAGCAGGCAAAGATGAACAGAAGGCGGATGATCAGTAAGTGTGCGAAAGAAGAGTTCAACTACCGATGCAAAATGAATGGATGTTGGGGGGGTGCGCATCTATATATGTGCGTGTATGGATTGGGAATTGGTCCCTCGTCCTCCCTCCTTCCCGTCCTTCTTATTCGGATTAGTAAGGTCCTCCTCTCCTCCTCCTCCTCCCCCCCCGCCCTCCTCCTCCTCCTCCTCCTCCTCCTCCTCCTCCTCCTCCTCCTCCTCCTCCTCCTCTCCTCTCCTCCTCCTCCCCGCCCTCCTCCTCCTCCTCCTCCTCCTCCTCCTCCTCCTCCTCCTCCTCCTCCTTCATGGTTCCTCATTCCGCCTCCTCCTTCTTCTCCCTTTCCTCCCTTGGGGGTTACGGAGCCGCCCGACTGCATTGCAGAGGAGGTGGAGGAGGAGATGGATGAGGAGCATGCTCACACCGAATTTCAGGCAAGCGTCCAGATCGCTCAGGGAGTTCCTCATGAGGTTGCCGATGATGTTGGACGAGTCGCCCCCGAGATGTATCACGAGGACTGCTCATTTCTTGCATCTTCGCACAGCCTTGCCGTACTTCGTCTTGACTCATACGGCGCGATACACCACGGAATCAACATAGAACGAGGGCCGCGCAAACGTAGCTGCAGTCATAACGACCCCTCCTGAGCACCCTGGTTTTCCCTCAAGACCGACGTCTCGCGTGGACGGCGAAGAAACTCGTCAGGGTGGGCTGCCCCTCCCCCCCATCCCCCGCGGGCCCGATATGGCCGACCTCGGCCGCGCCCGCCTTGGCCCACGGATGAAAGGCATCACGTCGGAGGTCTGGGCATCCTCCTTCCTCCCCCCCCCCTCTCGAGCAGGCTCCCGCACATGGAATCTCTCTTCCCGTCTCTCTTCCTAACCCCTCCCCCCTCTTCCTCCCCCCGAACTTCCACGTTGGCCCAACACTGAGCTCCTGAGCCTGTTGCGGCGGCTCTCGGGGGTTGCGCAGTGGGGGGTCGTGATGGAACGGGAAGGGGGGAGGGAAAGGTGCACCTCTCGTGCACCTTCGGGGCCCAACAGGGATCCCCCAAACGAGCCCAAGGAGGGGCCCCAGAAAATACCCAAGAGGCCAAGGTGGACCCGAGGACAATTCGTCCGGCTCCCAGAGTGGCTGGGGGGGGGGCCTCTCCCTTGGGTGCGACGCAAACAACTGATCCTCCCAGGGTGCTAGGCTGATTTATTCTCGGGGGCAGTCAAGTCGAACGAAGCCGATGGTTAGGATGTGTAACCTTTCCAAACGTACCCTCACGTGCCTGCCTCTTCGGTTCATCCTGATCCACTCTCCTCAGCGGGCCCCCCTCGACGAAAAGCTCCGGCAAGGGCGTCCAAGGGGCATGCACCCTTATCGCGCATCCTTATTATCAGCCTTGACTTTATTGCAGAGACGTGCACTCTTCGCCCCCGCATTAGCTCAGGAAAAAAACACAGACACAAATAATAGTCGATTCCCAGGACAAGATGGAAAATCTGTGATGGGAAGTGGAAAGGGGAAGAGCGTCGAGTGAATTTGAAAAACAATGAGAATCCCAGGATTCGTCCCTTTTTATTTGTGTGTAGTATGTGTATGTTTGTATGGGTGAGTGTATGCGTGGGTGCGTGGGTGCTTGCAGGCGGGCGGGCGGGCGGGCGCGGGCGTGTGCGTGTGCGTGTGCGTGTGCGTGTGCGTGTGCGTGTATTTTGCGTGTCGTAAGCGTAAGCGTGGGCGTGTAGGCGTGTGGGCGTGTAGGCGTGTGTGGATGTGTGGGTGTGTGCGGGTGTGGGGGTGTAGGGGTGTGAGAGTGTGTGAATGTGTGTGTGTGGGTGTGTGTGTGTGTGTGTGAGTGTGTGTGTGTGGATGCGTGAATGTGTGAATGTGTGGGTGTGTGGGTGTGTGGGTGCGTGGTTGCGTGGGTGTGTGAGTGTGTGGGTGTGTGGGTGTGTGAGTGTGTGGGGGTGTGGGGTGTGTGTGTGGGGGTGTGGGTGTGTGTGTGGGTGTGTGGGTATATGGGTGTGTGTGTGGGGGGGCCAGGAGACGTCGAGGTTGGGAATCGAAGGGTCGAGGTCGAGGGTCGTGAATGCGTCGAGGGCAGGGCGCGAGCTAAGCGGAGTTTTCGGCGACGTCGTGGGCCGTTCTCGTTCTGGCTTCGTTTGGCAGCAGAGGCGGAGCGAAGACGACTGCCAGCATTGCTTAGCTCGAGCCCTGGTCGAGAGGTCTGGGGGTCGCCTCGAAGAGGTGCTGCCGCCGGACGTCTAAGTTCTACCACGCTTCGGGAGGGAGACAAATCATCAGTGACACGCCGCCGTGGGAGCCCGCCAGCGCGTTACTCCTTCGGTTTTTTGTCCGAGGGTGTGGTGATATTCAACAGTAGCAGGCCGATGGGTTCCCGACGGACTCAGAGGAGGAAATGGTACCGATACCGCTACCCCGGCCTCGATTTCGCCTTTGGTGGCCTCCTGGGATGCCCTCGTCGCCACTGTTGGATTCGCCTCGAGAGTCTGGTCAGAACGCACCCCTGGAGAGGTCCGTGGAGTAGCGGTGCCGGTACTTTCTCGTTTCCCCAGTAGGGGCGGCGGCGTGTCACCGCTATTTTGTTTGGTCCCCAGCGTTCTCCGCAGCTTTTGCGCTTTTGCGGCCAGGGAGGGGACTCCTGTCTCCTCCTGGCTCGATGAGGGCGATCGGGAGCCGTCCTCCCCATACATCTGATCGGCGGAGGAAAACGGGATCGTCATCACCGGCATTCCCGCGCAAGGTCGCGCGCAAGCGCCCTCGTGTCCAATGTGGCGGGCCGCGCTGGCGGCCCGCGCAAGCCGCGGCGACAGGTCGCCAAGTCATCTCGTGTAAGACCTGTTTGTGCTCGTCGCCCATGTGGATCCTCCTCGCGGTTCGATGCCGCGGAACGTTGGCGACACCGCGGTTGTTGATGGACCGCCTCGCAGTGTTGTTTTCCTCCCTCCACCTCTCCTGCCCCTGTTATTCCTCTTGCCCGCACCGCGGGCCCAACGAGTGTGCACAGGACCCGTTTCTTCTCGTCGTTCAGTTGGTATCTTAAGTTCTCGGCGTCTTGCAAAACAGGCATGGCGCCGAAAGGAGTACCACTGGGCTCGGGAGGAGCTAAGGTTCTAGGACCGTGTTACGTTGCATCTTCGGGGTACCTCGCCTGTCCCAAAATTGGAGTCTTCTCTTGTGCCCGACGCGGACTCGACACGGGTTGAACGCGGATTCGACGCGGATCCGACACGGAGTCGACACGGATTCGACGAGGCCGACATGGATTCGGCACGGAGTCGTCGCGGAGAGGGCCGCGACGGGACAGACGAGGTCCCCCGAGGATGCCACATGAAGTGCCACTGGGCTCGGGAGGGGCTACGAGACCAGGACCGTGCCCAAGGTTTCCGTCGGGGAACCTGCCCGTGGTCGCGGCTCGCCGTGGCCAGGGAGGCCCTCTGTGGTCCCGGCCCTCCTGTGCGGATTCCCTTGCTGCACAGGGCGCCGTGCTGCTCGTCCTCCCTGCCTCCCCCATGTCTCGGGGGCGGACAGAACCCCCAACAGTGACACGTCGATGAGTGAATTGTCCGTTTTCGGTTCTCGAGAGGGCGCCGTGGCCGTCATTTTCCAGGCTTGCGCCCGCCAGGTTTGGGCCTCAGGTCGTTTTCACTAGACCACGTTTTGCTAAAGCGGGGTCTGTCCATCCCCGGATGTCATCCTCCTCGCGGCCCCCCTGGGGGCCTGCGCAGTGCGCAACCCATCCCCACTTTGGGTGGGCTCCGGGGAGCTCCAGCGGATTGGACGGCCACGCAGGCCCAGCCGAGGCCTCGCGGTTCCATGGGGGGCTGCGCAGTGTGCCATTGTCCGGTCGTGGGCTCCTGGGAGTTCTCGCCGCGTGGAGTGGTACGTAGATCCAGCCGAGGCCTCGCGGCTCCCTGAGGGGCTGCGAAGTGCGCAATTGTCCATACTTTCGTGGGCTCCTGGGAGGTCCAGCGGATTTGAGTGGTACGAAGATGCAGCCGAGACCTCGCGGCTCCCCGAGGGGCTGCGAAGTGTGCAACGGTCACCACTTTCGTGGATTCTTGGAAGGTCCAGCGTAGTGGAGTGGTACGCAGATCCAGCCGAGACATCGCGGCTCCCCAGGGGGCTGCGAAGCGTGCAATTGTTGCCACGTTCGTAGGCTCCTGGGAGGTCTCGCGGAGTGGAGTGGTACGCAGATCCAGCCGAGGCCTCGCGGCTCCCCTGGGGCTGCGAATTGTGCGATTGTCGCCACTGTCGTAGGTTCCTGGGAGGTCCAGCGGAGTGGAGTGGTACGCAGATCCAGCCGTGACCTCGCGTTCCTTGGGGCGCTGCGAAGCGTGCAATTGTCCCCCGTGTCGTGGGCTCCTGGGAGTTCCCGCCGTATGGAGTGGTACGCAGATCCAGCCGAAATCTCGCGGCTCCCTGAGGGGCTGCGAATTGTGCAATTGTCGCAACCTTCTTAGGCTCTCCGGAGGTCCAGCGGAGCGGAGTGGTACGCAGATCCAGCCTAGACTTGTGGGCTCCCGGGGGTTCTTCGAAGCGCGCAATTGTTGTCATTTTCGTGGGCTCCTGGAAGGTCCAGCGGAGTGGAGCGGTGGTAACGCAGATCCAGCCGAGACCTCGCGGCTCCTTGGGGGGGTCGATGTGTGCAATTGCGCAACTTTCGTCGGCTCCTGAGCAGGGGCTGCGAAGTAAGTTTCTCATGCCGTTTCCATTTGTTTCCATTATTGTGTTTGTGTGTTTGTGTGGTTGTCGTTACTCTCGTTGCTGCGCTCTTCTGATGTTACTTCTTAGTGCTCCTGCGCACTGCGGGTCCGTCAACATGTTCGCTCGTATTGAGCAGTCCTGGGTAGAGTCGGCCCATGTTTAGAAAGGGTTGGGTGCGTCGCAGGGCAATTTCCCATTATCCATGTGTTCATCATCAAGGACTGTAACTTGCGAGAGCCCTTAAGGCCGAAATCCTTTTACACGCTGCTGCTCTCCGAGATGCGTTGGGACTCTGGGGCGTGCTGGTGGAGTCAGCTTTGAAGTGGCCTCCAGGGAGGCAAGCCGCAGAAGTGGAATATTTGAGTTGTTGGTTTGTCGCCGCAGCGGACGAGGGGTGGAGGAGGGAGGAGGGTGGCGAGAAGTAGAGGGAGGAGGAGAAGGAGGATGACGTTAGGAGGGTGGACGCGCGTCCAAGAGAGGCTCTGCCGCCTTCCACTCCCAGACGATCCCCCGACCCTCATGGAGCGCATTCTGACCTGCGCGAGCTCGAGGCGGGTCCAGCCGCGGCAACGATGGCGCCCAAGCAGGCCCAAACATGCAAACGTTGTCGACCCCCCCTTCTTCTACCCCTCATTTCGGCGGCGCGCACAGGGGGAAGGCAGAGTGGGGGGGGGGCTTCTCGGAAGGCGGGGTGGAGGGCTTCTCGGAAACCCTCGCCTTCTGAGAAGCTTTCTGCGGTTTCGGCTAAGGCTTATGTGATCGTTCTTGATTCCTTGTTTTGCCGATCGGCGCGGGCCCC